CTCATAACATTTATACAAATTAAGTGAAATAAACCAGTTCAACAGTGAAACCAACTACTGTTGGGGCGAATTACTATAAACAAGATACTTTCCTGCAGGTACATGCTGTTGCCTTAATCAATGGCTAACCAAGTAAGACAATGGTTTGTGTTTCAATTCCCACAAATGGAAATTAAGTAAGCTGTAACTGAACATCCAATTTTGGCAACAAATGCAACAACCTAATGAATTTTTTCATGGTTATATTTTAGTAGAAATCCCATTAATTCTGTACATTAATGGCTGTATGTTACATCCTATCTTATGATTGAAGTGAACTCAACATTTAATGAACTCTAAGACAAGGGAGCTCAAAACCTGAGTGAGATCTGACAGTTAAACGTGTTGTGAATATACTGTATTTGCATGACACAGGTCAGAAACATTACAAATTTCCATTTTTTATCTCCTTTCTGTTGCGATTCAAATGGCAAACGTAGAGTGATGTTATCCTCTAAAACCAGTCTAAATACTCTATTTTATTCACCTTTAATCATTCGCTTTTCCCCAAAATATCTTTAAAAAGGGTATTTTCATAGCCAGCTCTAGACTAGGCTCCCATCTACCTCTTCCATCTTTTAAAAAGTGAAACACTTTCTTAAAATAGATTCAAATTATTTTGATGCCCTTGAAATTTTATGGGCTTTGCAGGACAAAGGCTGATGAACCACTGCAATATTGTCAACTTTGGGGAAGTAATGCAAATTATGTGAATTTTCCTGGGTAAGGAAGTTCCTAGGATTCATCAATTTCAAAGGGCCCGGAAACCTAAAAAGTTAAGAACCAAAAAAAAAAAAAAAAAAGTTAAGAACCACTACTAAAATGAGTTTGTACCCACCACTGTACCTAATTATTAGTAACTTGTTCTGCAGCTACCCTATCCCCTATACAACTCTTACTTCAGATAGTACCATACAAACACAAATGTTACTAAATGTCCTTTACTGGATCAGAAGGAAAAGGGGGGTGGGGAGGGGAGGCAAAGAAAGGAAAAACATTAAACTTTTCTAAACATTTAATTCAATAAGAAAGCTAACAGAAAACAGAGTTTTGGAGCAATTAAAGAACAAAAAGATTGGGTTTTGTGGTGAATAAACATTGCATTTATTTTTCTCGGTTAAGTTGAAGCAGCAATAATTTTTACCATTATCTCCCTTGCTGGAAAAATCAAATGATCTGAGAAGTAAAGGTTGGTTCTTGCTGGTTTATGTGATGCAACAGTGCTTAATAATATACAGCTAGGCTCAAGAAGACCTTCCAACAGCTTTTAAAATAATTAAGAGTAATCTTCTGTGTCTTTCTCACTGGCATCTCCCTACCCCTCCATCTCCCAATTTGTCTAATTTTTGGCTCACTTTTATATAGTGTTTATTGGCCTTGGTGAGGTAATGCACCCAAAAAATGGAATTGGCCTGCTTAAAGAGAGCGAGAGAAAGAGAGAGACAGAACCATCACCAAGAGGGTAGTAGAGGAAATCAAGCAACATTTCGTGCTAGGTGAGGGGAAAAAAAAGTCACTTTTTGTTGTATCAATTCAAGCAATATTTTTCCCCATCTAATAGGTTGTCAACTTCTGTTTAAATATATCTGAGTTTTTCTAGTTGGTGCACTCCTACATGCTGGTAATATAATCAGGAAAATTTAAGAGCAGAGGCCCCTAAGTTAACATAAAAAGCAGGTAAAAGGGAAAGAGTCTATGTAAAGGTGAACAGAAGTAGAAATGTTCATTTGACAACAAAGTGGAACCAAATGGCTCTCTTCACTTCTGTATGGCATTCTGATTATCAGTTAATAACACTTGAGACTTATTATTCTGACCAACAAAATAATACAGTAATTTAGTCCCAACATTTAGAAAATGTATTCTTAAATATTTCAAGCATATTCTAAAGTAATGTATAACTTAAAATACAATCCAAAACTCATGGCACATTATCGAAAGAAATAAAGTAAAATTAGGCTTCTAAAGTTTTAAACTATAGAGAAGTCGTCCTATGACTAAAAGAAAAACTAATCAGAAGACTCAATTACACTCAATTACAAAATGGTCACCTCACCAGCAATATCTGCAAGCAAAAGTATGAAACTCTTTAAGGTTCCTTCCAAGAAAAGCCTCAAAAGAGGAACATTTATGTACTGAAATATTTACATATTTTCTACTACGAAATCCTAACAATACTGTACAAATAACATCATAGGCTTACACCTCTAATTCAAACTTTATGAATTAAAAGTATACACCATGAAATTCAAAATGAAAAAAAAAAAACCTGTAACCAATTTTGTCAGTTCTTTCAGAAATCACACACTGAATTCCCATATGAATTTGTCCAATAAAGATGGGCAGTAAAATTATTTATAAAAACTAAAACACACAGTAATCATTTGGCTAAAACTAGTCATTAACACTGGCAGTGTTTTCAAAAAACAGAATTTTTTCTTAAATAAGATAAATTTAGCTATATATATATATTTTTTTTCCTTTTTTCTTTTAAATGCCTTAAACTCAAACTCCACCAGTATTTCCCGGGTTGGAGAATTCTAAGAACTCCATGACCTATTTCTCTGACTGCTGTCAGCAGGAGGAGTAAAGGCCATTTGTTGAAGGTAGTCAAGCATAATGAATAGAACTGAGCCTCTTCCGTCCAATTTTATTACTATGCTAACCAAAATTTTCTTCTGGATGAGATTTCTAACTTTGTTTGAAGAAAATAAACGGAAGAGTTTTCAAGTGAATAATGGAACTAAAATGAGCTGGTTAGGGCAGAGGCCCGCCTTATTCAGGAAAATTATCTGGCAGAGAGTAGTAGGAGGGCTGTAGCTATTTTTTTGGATGTGTGATTCAGTTACAATATTAACATACATTAGATTATAAATTGTACTCAAATGTAAACTCCTTGAGGGCAAGGACCTCTTCATGTCTTTATAGTTCCAAGATACTTGGCCTAGAACAATGTTTTACAGATAACACTCAATACATCTTGTGGAAAAGCTGGATTAGTGGAACCAATATGTGGCCAAATGGATGGTCATTAAAAGTGTTGGTATAATTCAGATTATTTGAATTATGTACTTGATTTAGTCTTTAATCCAAATTTCTTAATGTGGTTAAAAAAATAAGTGGCTGGAGCAGTACACTAATTGCATAGTACTCTAGAAGCAAGCATTATAATAAAAAATGTTTGAAACAGTTCTAAAGCTAAATAAGAAAAATACCACTTGGATTTTTTGAAAGTTAATGCTAATACTGAGAACTGCTTCTGTTATCTGTAAAAGTATATTCCTGAAGAAAGTGGAAATTAAGAGAGTTTACTTTGCTAAAACAATAAGAGATCAGTAAAATTTTTTAATGTTAGGGTAACAAGAGTCTGCTACACAAAATGAATTTCCTATTAAAAGCAGCAAATTGAGTTCATCCTATGAAAACACTTAAACGAAAGTACATTTTGAATGGTATATTATCATACAAGAACTTTCACCCTCCAAAGGAAATAACATACAACGTATCAAAAACTTTTGAGGCATTGCCCTGAGATGCTAATTAGCACACAAAAGGGGGTTGGGAGGGCAAGAACTTAAGTGGTACAAAAATGAAGTGCACAACAGAGGTGCAAAAGTGCCTTTTAAAAGTGTGGTTGGTTCCCACCCCCACCCTTACCCCCAGGAATCAAGAACACACACAGTCTGCAATTATAATGTACACTTCCTTTTTTACAATGAAAAATTATATATAGTATGGCAATGCTGACTCATGTGGAAAAGATTTAGTCTTCTCAGAGAACACTTCATAGTTTTCTCTCACTTCCAAGCTTCAGTTCAGTACTATTAATTTTAACAAGGAATATCTTAACCTCCTATTTAAAAACTTCCAAATAAAAAAACAACTCTAAATATGCTGTTATGGTTTGAAATATAGCTTTCCATCACATATTTTTATACTCGTGACTTATAATTTTGCATCTCAAAAGCTAATTCACGGTTTTGAAATTTCTAGAACTAAAAAACGCAGTCTACTTTAAGTACTAAGGAGCTGGTTTCTTACACTAGGAATTTAGTTGTCAGCGCAAGTAGGTCTAGGAATCACTCTCCACCAGCAGCAGCACTGCGATCCGCTGACGGCACACAGAGGTGGCCTCCCAAGCCATAAAAGAACATCTCATACTTCGCACTCTACCACAGATTTAGACACTGAGCATTTATTTGTAAGTTTGGAACTGGTTCTATAATTCCAACTGTTATGAATTTCTAAAGATAAATAGTATGTGTTTTTCTTCATTCATGCTGGATTGAGTTATAAATTAAATACAATTAAATTACACTGAATCGCCTCACAAATAAGAGGGATAATGGAAAGGTTTTGCTGGTATGTAACTACTTAAATCTGAGACATTTCACATTACCTTGCCCACTACTCCCCTAACTTTACATTAGTTTTAAGGCTATATATACAAATATGTATATTTCCAAGTTAGGGAAAAAAAACAAATATAACAAAACTGATTATACTACTTTTTATACACAGTTTCGATTTTGTGTTCAATGTTGTACTGTAATCTTACATGTTAATAGTTTTCTAGTGGGGAATCTGCCTACTGAATGATTAAATTACACAGCAATAAATACAATATCCAACCTAGACAGACAAAAATACAGAAGGGCACAAAACAGTAGTCTTTTCTGCGTGACAGATTTAAAAACTTACTTTCACATGCTTAATCAGAGGAATTTAAGCCTAAATTAAATTAGGTTATTTTTATATCTACAATTCTTTAAGCTTTGAAAGTTATTTTTAAAGGCCAACAGCTAAATATTAGCAACATGCTGTATTTCAAATCACAAATACATCTTAACTACTTGGATTCTAAAGACATGGGCCAGTTAAGAATCTCAGGCAA